AGTTGCCATAACGGGTGTGTCAGGCCACGTGACAAGTTGCCATAACGGGTGTGTCGGGCCAGGTGACAAGTTGCCATAACGGGTGTGTCAGACCACATGACAAGTTGCCATAACGGGTGTGTCAGGCCACATGACAAGTTGCCATAACGGGTGTGTCAGGCCACGTGACAAGTTGCCATAACGGGTGTGTCAGGCCACGTGACAAGTTGCCATAACGGGTGTGTCAGGCCACATGACAAGTTGCCATAACGGGTGTGTCAGGCCGCATGACAAGTTGCCATAACGGGTGTGTCAGGCCGCATGACAAGTTGCCATAACGGGTGTGTCAGGCCGCATGACAAGTTGCCATAACGGGTGTGTCAGGCCACATGACAAGTTGCCATAACGGGTGTGTCAGGCCGCATGACAAGTTGCCATAACGGGTGTGTCAGGCCACATGACAAGTTGCCATAACGGGTGTGTCAGGCCGCATGACAAGTTGCCATAACGGGTGTGTGTCAGGCCACATGACAAGTTGCCATAACGGGTGTGTCAGGCCACATGACAAGTTGCCATAACGGGTGTGTCAGGCCACATGACAAGTTGCCATAACGGGTGTGTGTCAGGCCACATGACAAGTTGCCATAACGGGTGTGTCAGGCCACATGACAAGTTGCCATAACGGGTGTGTCAGGCCGCATGACAAGTTGCCATAACGGGTGTGTCAGGCCACATGACAAGTTGCCATAACGGGTGTGTCAGGCCACATGACAAGTTGCCATAACGGGTGTGTCAGGCCACATGACAAGTTGCCATAACGGGTGTGTCAGGCCACATGACAAGTTGCCATAACGGGTGTGTCAGGCCACATGACAACCTCTAGATTTTGTTCATTATCTTTATGTTTCTGCTGCCATTGTAAAATATATTTTATATTTTTTTTATATAAACATAGAGCCTCCTGGGCACACATAGAGCCTCCTGGGCACACATAGAGCCTCCTGGGCATACACAGAGCCTCCTGGGCACACATAGAGCCTCCTGGGCACACATAGAGCCTCCTGGGCACACATAGAGCCTCCTGGGCATACACAGAGCCTCCTGGGCACACATAGAGCCTCCTGGGCACACATAGAGCCTCCTGGGCACACATAGAGCCTCCTGGGCATACACAGAGCCTTCTGGGCACACTCAGAGCCTCCTGGGCATACACAGAGCCTCCTGGGCACACATACAGCCTCCTGGGCATACACAGAGCCCCCTGGGCATACACAGAGCCCCCTGGGCACATACAGAGCCTCCTGGGCCCACACAGAGCCTCCTGGGCCCACACAGAGCCTCCTGGGCATACACAGAGCCTCCTGGGCATACACAGAGCCTCCTGGGCATACATAGAACCCCCTGGGCATACACAGAGCTTCCTGGGCATAAACAGAGCCTCCTGGGCACACATAGAGCCTCCTGGGCACACACAGAGCCTCCTGGGCACACATAGAGCCTCCTGGGCACACACAGAGCCTCCTGGGCACACACAGAGCCTCCTGGGCATACACAGAGCCTCCTGGGCATACACAGAGCCTCCTGGGCATACATAGAACCCCCTGGGCATACACAGAGCCTCCTGGGCACACACAGAGCCTCCTGGGCACACACAGAGCCTCCTGGGCACACACAGAGCCTCCTGGGCACACACAGAGCCTCCTGGGCACACACAGAGCCTCCTGGGCACACACAGAGCCTCCTGGGCACACACAGAGCCTCCTGGGGCACACATAGAGCCTCCTGGGCACACACAGAGCCTCCTGGGGCACACATAGAGCCTCCTGGGGCACACATAGAGCCTCCTGGGCACACACAGAGCCACCTCGCGCGTAAAATATGAAATTCAAAGGAAGTGGGTTTCCGGTACTGATAAACTGAATTATCTGTGAGTTCCACTACCTAGAGTGTCCCTCATAACTTACAACACTAGCCAGGGTGTCCCTCATAACTTACAACACTAGCCAGGGTGTCCCTCATAACTTACAACACTAGCCAGGGTGTCCCTCATAACTTACAACACTAGCCAGGGTGTCCCTCATAACTTACAACACTAGCCAGGGTGTCCCTCATAACTTACAACACTAGCCAGGGTGTCCCTCATGACTTACAACACTAGCCAGGGTGTCCCTCATGACTTACAACACTAGCCAGGGTGTCCCTCATGACTTACAACACTACCCAGAGTGTCCCTCATGACTTACAACACTACCCAGAGTGTCCCTCATAACTTACAACACTACCCAGAGTGTCCCTCATAACTTACAACACTAGCCAGGGTGTCCCTCATAACTTACAACACTAGCCAGGGTGTCCCTCATAACTTACAACACTAGCCAGGGTGTCCCTCATAACTTACAACACTAGCCAGGGTGTCCCTCATAACTTACAACACTAGCCAGGGTGTCCCTCATAACTTACAACACTAGCCAGGGTGTCCCTCATGACTTACAACACTAGCCAGGGTGTCCCTCATGACTTACAACACTAGCCAGGGTGTCCCTCATGACTTACAACACTAGCCAGGGTGTCCCTCATAACTTACAACACTAGCCAGGGTGTCCCTCATGACTTACAACACTAGCCAGGGTGTCCCTCATAACTTACAACACTAGCCAGGGTGTCCCTCATAACTTACAACACTAGCCAGGGTGTACCTCATAACTTACAACACTAGCCAGGGTGTCCCTCATAACTTACAACACTAGCCAGGGTGTCCCTCATGACTTACAACACTAGCCAGGGTGTCCCTCATAACTTACAACACTAGCCAGGGTGTCCCTCATAACTTACAACACTAGCCAGGGTGTCCCTCATAACTTACAACACTAGCCAGGGTGTCCCTCATGACTTACAACACTAGCCAGGGTGTCCCTCATAACTTACAACACTAGCCAGGGTGTCCCTCATGACTTACAACACTAGCCAGGGTGTCCCTCATGACTTACAACACTAGCCAGGGTGTCCCTCATAACTTACAACACTAGCCAGGGTGTCCCTCATAACTTACAACACTAGCCAGGGTGTCCCTCATAACTTACAACACTAGCCAGGGTGTCCCTCATGACTTACAACACTAGCCAGGGTGTCCCTCATGACTTACAACACTAGCCAGGGTGTCCCTCATAACTTACAACACTAGCCAGGGTGTCCCTCATAACTTACAACACTAGCCAGGGTGTCCCTCATAACTTACAACACTAGCCAGGGTGTCCCTCATAACTTACAACACTAGCCAGGGTGTCCCTCATAACTTACAACACTAGCCAGGGTGTCCCTCATGACTTACAACACTAGCCAGGGTGTCCCTCATAACTTACAACACTAGCCAGGGTGTCCCTCATAACTTACAACACTAGCCAGGGTGTCCCTCATAACTTACAACACTAGCCAGGGTGTCCCTCATAACTTACAACACTAGCCAGGGTGTCCCTCATGACTTACAACACTAGCCAGGGTGTCCCTCATAACTTACAACACTAGCCAGGGTGTCCCTCATAACTTACAACACTAGCCAGGGTGTCCCTCATAACTTACAACACTAGCCAGGGTGTCCCTCATAACTTACAACACTAGCCAGGGTGTCCCTCATAACTTACAACACTAGCCAGGGTGTCCCTCATAACTTACAACACTAGCCAGGGTGTCCCTCATGACTTACAACACTAGCCAGGGTGTCCCTCATAACTTACAACACTAGCCAGGGTGTCCCTCATGACTTACAACACTAGCCAGGGTGTCCCTCATAACTTACAACACTAGCCAGGGTGTCCCTCATAACTTACAACACTAGCCAGGGTGTCCCTCATGACTTACAACACTAGCCAGGGTGTCCCTCATAACTTACAACACTAGCCAGGGTGTACCTCATAACTTACAACACTAGCCAGGGTGTACCTCATAACTTACAACACTAGCCAGGGTGTCCCTCATAACTTACAACACTAGCCAGGGTGTCCCTCATGACTTACAACACTAGCCAGGGTGTACCTCATGACTTACAACACTAGCCAGGGTGTCCCTCATAACTTACAACGGCTAACGAGCTAAGGCTAACGAGCTGTTTAACAGATTCAAGGCTACGGTGCTCACTACACGGTACTGTGAGCTCCTGATAGTACACACAGTAGCTACGGTGCTCACTACACGGTACTGTGAGCTCCTGATAGTACACACAGTAGCTACGGTGCTCATCACACGGTACTGTGAGCTCCTGATAGTACACACAGTAGCTACGGTGCTCACCACACGGTACTGTGAGCTCCTGATAGTACACACAGTAGCTACGGTGCTAACCACACGGTACTGTGAGCTCCTGACAGTACACACAGTAGCTACGGTGCTCACCACACGCCACTGTACATATATATAACCCTTACCATGCTAAATACACACTCCACACATTCTCACGTGACATCTACATACACAAACCCTTGCTCCTAAATGCTAATCTTGATCTGAAAGTTTTCCTTGATAGGTATAAAAGATCCCATGAGCACCACACCAGAAATAAACATCTCTTTGATATCCCCAGAGTCAGAATAAATCTGTGTAAACACTCCATGCAGATAAAAGGACCAAGTCTGGAGATCTATAATGAGCCTCCTGGGCACACATAGAGCCTCCTGGGCACACATAGAGCCTCCTGGGCATACACAGAGCCTCCTGGGCACACATAGAGCCTCCTGAGCACACATAGAGCCTCCTGGGCACACATAGAGCCTCCTGAGCACACATAGAGCCTCCTGGGCATACACAGAGCCTCCTGAGCACACATAGAGCCTCCTGGGCATACACAGAGCCTCCTGGGCATACACAGAGGATAAAAGAGGTTTCCAACCCAACGGCTTGTTCAAAAGTAAAGCCAAAAAGTAACTAATTTCATTCTCATAATTTCCTACTTTGTGCTTCGAAATCACACTGTATCTTGTACTACCCATTTCCCTATGGTCAGGAAAGTGGGTATTGAGGCAGGACCTTACCTTTGTATCGTAGCTGTGAGGGGTGTGGAGCTGAGAGGGTGTGGAGCTGTGAGGGTGTGGAGCTGTGAGGGTGTGGAGGGGTGAGGGTGTGGAGCTGAGAGGGTGTGGAGCTGTGAGGGTGTGGAGGGGTGAGGGTGAGGAGCTCTAGGAGGCGCTGCTCAGGCTGTGGCGTTGTGTGTGGCGCTCGTGATCGTCTCTTGTCTCCACACTGACTGCTCCCGTCTCGTCTGTCGCTGTTCACGCTTCCTGGCCTCATGTTGTGCTCACTCCACTCTCTAGTGTGGCTCTGTGTGTGTCTGCTCACTCCACTCTCTAGTGTGGCTCTGTGTGTGTCTGGTTACTCCACTCTCTAGTGTGGCTCTGTGTGTGTCTGGTTACTCCACTCTCTAGTGTGGCTCTGTGTGTCTGGTTACTCCACTCTCTAGTGTGGCTCTGTGTGTGTCTGGTTACTCCACTCTCTAGTGTGGCTCTGTGTGTGTCTGGTTACTCCACTCTCTAATGTGGCTCTGTGTGTGTCTGGTTACTCCACTCTCTAGTGTGGCTCTATGTGTGTCTGGTTACTCCACTCTCTAGTGTGGCTCTGTGTGTGTCTGGTTACTCCACTCTCTAGTGTGGCTCTGTGTGTGGTTACTCCACTCTCTAGTGTGGCTCTGTGTGTCTGGTTACTCCACTCTCTAGTGTGGCTCTGTGTGTGTCTGCTTACTCCACTCTCTGGTGTGGCTCTGTGTGTCTGCTTACTCCACTCTCTAGTGTGGCTCTGTGTGTGTCTGGTTACTCCACTCTCTGGTGTGGCTCTGTGTGTCTGGTTACTCCACTCTCTAGTGTGGCTCTGTGTGTGTCTGCTCACTCCACTCTCTAGTGTGGCTCTGTGTGTGTGGTTACTCCACTCTCTGGTGTGGCTCTGTGTGTCTGGTTACTCCACTCTCTAGTGTGGCTCTGTGTGTGTGGTTACTCCACTCTCTGGTGTGGCTCTGTGTGTCTGGTTACTCCACTCTCTAGTGTGGCTCTGTGTGTGTCTGCTCAATCCACTCTCTAGTGTGGCTCTGTGTGTGTGGTTACTCCACTCTCTGGTGTGGCTCTGTGTGTCTGGTTACTCCACTCTCTAGTGTGGCTCTGTGTGTGTGGTTACTCCACTCTCTGGTGTGGCTCTGTGTGTCTGGTTACTCCACTCTCTAGTGTGGCTCTGTGTGTGTCTGCTTACTCCACTCTCTAGTGTGGCTCTGTGTGTCTGGTTACTCCACTCTCTAGTGTGGCTCTGTGTGTGTCTGGTTACTCCACTCTCTAGTGTGGCTCTGTGTGTGTCTGGTCACTCCACTCTCTAGTGTGGCTCTGTGTGTGTCTGCTCACTCCACTCTCTAGTGTGGCTCTGTGTGTGTCTGCTCACTCCACTCTCTAGTGTGGCTCTGTGTGTGTCTGCTCACTCCACTCTCTAGTGTGGCTCTGTGTGTCTGCTTACTCCACTCTCTAGTGTGGCTCTGTGTGTGTCTGCTCACTCCACTCTCTAGTGTGGCTCTGTGTGTGTCTGGTCACTCCACTCTCTAGTGTGGCTCTGTGTGTCTGCTTACTCCACTCTCTAGTGTGGCTCTGTGTGTGTCTGCTTACTCCACTCTCTCATCATCACGGAATCTCTCTCATCAATTCCACTGATGTTAATGAGATAAGCCTTTCTCTTAAAACATAGTCTGGTGCCCTTGCTGAGATATCAACTCTAATTTACAAAAAAAAACTCCAGATTTCTAGCTCCTGCCATTGCATTGATCTACAACAAGTCACTGGAACTCGAAAATTTTCCGGATATTCTAAAAAAAACGAGAGTAACCCCAGTCCATAAATGTGGTGATCTCACTGATGTCAACAATTTCAGACCTATATTAATTCTGCCAACCTTGTCAAATATATTTGAAAAACTAATCTATAAGCAGCTTTACTCCTATCTAGCCAAACACAATATACTTAGCCCTTGTCAATATGGCTTCAGACCCAAAAAAAGCACTAATGATGCACTTATTAGTATGATTAACTTGATTCATACAGCTCTTGATAAAAATGAGTTCCCTGTTGGGTTATTTGTGGACCTACGTAAGGCTTTTGACACTGTCAACCACCAAAACCTTCTTCTTAAATTACATCATTATGAAGTCAGAGGACACTCCCTACAATACCTCAAATCCTACCTTACTGACAGGCTCCAGTATGTTTCTGTGAATAATTCAATTTCTCCCACCCTACCCATCAACATTGGTGTTCCTCAGGGCAGCATACTTGGCCCTCTCCTCTTTCTCATCTACATTAATGACCTTCCAAATGCCTCCCAACACCTCAAACCAATTCTATTTGCTGACGTCACAACCTTCATTTACTCCAGTCCTGACCCTCTTGCTCTAAATGTCACAGTGAACACTGAACTAAATAAAGTCTATCAAATCCTAAAATAATCCTAAAGCCAATCCTGACCTCAAAAGCTTCATTGAAGGTTGTAACAGAACCCATGAGCACCACACCAGAAATAAATACAGTTTTGATATTCCTAGAGTACGACTTAATCAAACTAGAAATGCTCTACAAATCAAGGGACCCAGAATGTGGAATGACCTTCCCAATCATGCCAAAGGTTGTACCTCTCTCAACCAGTTTAAGAGAAAAACTAAGTATTACTTTACAAACTCCATGTAACTTACCTTACCCACTAAATGTCAACTAATGTCTTACTATTTTCAAACAATACTGTTTGTTGACCAATTTATATAATTGGTGAATTCGGCCATGTTCCCCCCCCCCTTTTGTTGTCCTTTTTCTACACAATTTATACTTTAATCTCAATTAGTATTAAGCTTTAGGATAAGTGTTTTTTCCCCCTTACCTTGCCCGAAACGCTATGCGTACTAGTGGCTTTAGGTATTGTATGTACTACCTCTATCTATAAATCCAACATTATGTTTGTAACTCATATGTATGTACTTATATGTATTTACCTGAATAAAAATTTGAATCTAGTGTGGCTCTGTGTGTCTGCTTTCTTATTTATGCATATACAAGAATGTACATAAGGAATGTGAGGATACAAATATGGTAATTACAGTCTTGTAAAGCCACTAGCACGCGCAGCGTTTCGGGCAGGTCCTTAATCTAAGAAAATTTTAAGGAGGTAAATACATGCAAAATTTATAGACAAAAAAATGATAACATTACATGGAAAAAAAAAGATGAGAGAAAATTATAGGTACAGTATATTAAAGCATATAGGTAGCTAAGATTGATTGCAATGACAGCTTGAATGGTAGTTGACAAAAATTGGTAGTCACAATACAGCATATGGCTAGCACATAAAAGAAGACAGCAATGAACACAATGATAAGGTTGTTTGATATTACATAAAAATTAGGAGATTGGGTAACACTAGGTACAGAGCAAATTTAAAGCTCAGTGTAGGAAACTAAATAGATGAAGTTAGGTACTTTTTGGTTTTGCTTTTAAATAAGGCAAAAGTTTTACAGTTTTTCAATTCACTAGGGAGTGAGTTCCATAGACTAGGTCCCTTAATTTGCATAGAGTGTTTACACAGATTAAGTTTGACCCTGGGGATATCAAAGAGATATTTATTTCTGGTGTTGTGATAATGGGTCCTATTACATCTGTCCAGGGAGAGTTTCAGAGCAGGATTTGCATTTAAGAACAGGGTTTTGTAAATGTAGTTGACACAAGAGAATGTGTGGAGGGAGTTAATATTTAGCAAGTTTAGAGATTTAAACAAGGGAGCTGAGTGTTGTCTGAAAGCAGAGTTAGTTATTATTCTGATAGCAGATTTTTGCTGTGTGATGATGGGCTTAAGGTGGTTTGCAGTGGTAGACCCCCATGCACAGATACCATAATTAAGATAGGGGTAGATTAGTGCATAATATAGTGAGAGGAGAGCAGAGTTAGGAACATAATATCTGATTTTGGAGAGTATACCAACTGTCTTAGAGACTTTCTTAGTTATGTGTTGAATGTGGGTGCTGAAGTTGAGTCTCTTGTCTAGGAATAGGCCAAGAAACTTGCCATCATTTTATTACTGATGTTAATGTTGTCTATCTGTAGCTGAATTGCATTTGATGATTTGCTTCTTACTAGAACCCCGAACACAGATACCATAATTGAGATAAGGATAGATGAGCGAGTAATAGAGCATTACCAGGGCAGGGCGAGGTACATAATATTTTTTTTTTTTTTGAGATATATACAAGAGTTGTTACATTCTTGTACAGCCACTAGTACACGTAGCGTTTCGGGCAAGTCCCTGGAATACGATCCCCGCCGCGAAGAATAGTTTTTTCATCCAAGTACACATTTTACTGTTGCGTTAAACAGAGGCTACAGTTAAGGAATTGCGCCCAGTAAATCCTACCCGGCCAGGATACGAACCCATGACATAGCGCTCGCGGAACGCCAGGCGAGTGTCTTACCACTACACCACGGAGACTGCACGGATTTGGTCCTAGAAACAATGCCAACTGTTTTAGAAACTTTTTTAGCTATATTTTGAACGTGGCCCTGGAAATTCAGCTTGTTATCAATGAGAACACCAATGAATTTAACATCTACTTTATTGCTAATTTGGAAATTGTTAATTCGTCGATTAATTTGATCAGAAGATGTATTACCAAATAAAATATAGAAGGGTTTTTGTCAATGTTAAGGGTGAGTTTGTTAGCAGTTGTTTGATATTTAATTTAGTATTCACTGTGTCACTCAGAATAAGTGGGTTAGGACTGGAGATAATGAAGGTTGTGTCACCAGCAAATAAAATTGGCTTGAGTCGTTGATAGGATATTTTCATTTACATTAATGACCTGCCAAATGCAGGTCATTTTTAATGTAAATGAGAAAGAGTAGAGAGCCAAGTATATTGCCCTGTGGAACACCAGTGTAGGGTGGGAGAATTAACGCCATTCACAGAAACATACTGGAGTCTGTCACTAAGATAAGACTGAAGATATTGGAGGAAGTTATCTCTGACTCCATAATGATGTAATTTAAGAACAAGGTTGTGGTGGTTAACAGTATCAAAAACCTTTCGTAGGTCCACAAATAACCCAACAGGGAACTCATTTTTATCAAGAGCTGCATGTATCAAGTTAATCATACTAATCAGAGCATCATTGGTGCTTTTTTGGGTCTGATATTGGCAAAAGCTAAGTATATTGAGTTTGACTAGATAAGAGTAAAGCTGCTCGTAGATTATTTATCTATTTATTTGTTTACATACAAGAAGATACATTGGGTTTATGAGA